TCTTTCTTGATGATCAAATAGTTATTATTTTAAATAAATTTTATTTTAAAAGTGTCGAATTATAAAAACTTTATTGTCCATTCTCCCTCTTATTTAATTTTTAAAGGTCGTTATAAATTTATTTTATGTATACAATTCTTTTCATAATATTCCGTTATTCAGTTTATAGTGAGAGTTTTGAACATTATCAAAAAACAATTACAAATAAATATTAGCTAAGATAATTAATTTATTCTGTTTAAATATGGCATTTTGATTTCATATTGAATGTGGAAATGCTTATTCAGATGAATTGAACTTTTATTCACTTTCATTAAAACATCATTCATTCAAGAAGTTCCACAACACAAACATAAAACCAATTAAATGTTTCTTGAGGACTGTCCTTCTTCTTCACTTTTTTCCATGTTTATATGGGGTTGGCATTTCCTTCTCTAATATGTTTTCTCCATTTCTTGTTATCAAGGGCATCTTTTCTCCCCTCTGATTCAAGCCTTCCTCCACCTTATCTTTCCAATGCAGCCTTTGTCTTCCTCTCGTCTTCATTCCTTTCACTACTAACCAACCCTGTTTCCAACATAATCTTCACTACTTCACTCTATGTGGCCAAACCTCCTCAACCTGCATTTTTGTATCTTCCTGCTCAAGTGACCCACCTTAACAGAACCTCTAATAAACTTGTTCCTTATTCTATCCTTCCTTGACACTCCACACATCCATCTCAACATTCTCATCTTTGCCACCTCCATCTTTCTTTCTCGCCCATGTCTCAGCTTCATACAACATTGCAGGTCTAACAACCAATTTGTACAATTTACTTTTCAGTTTGCAGCTAACTTTCTTGTCACATAACACACCACTCAACTTCCTCCAGTTCAACTATCCACATTGAATTCTATGTTGCACTTCCAAGTTCAATCCTCTTCCTATCTCGAAAAAGGCTCCTAGATACGTAAAATTTGGAACCACAGGAAGCAGCAGCATTATCAGGTCAAACAGATAAGGGCTAAGGGTCTAACTCTGATATAAACCAATATTAATGGAGAACTCTTCTGTACTGCCCATGCTACTCTTAACTTGGGAGTGTTCACTCCTTCGTACATTTCCTTGACAAGCCTAACATATTTTTCTGAAACATTCTTTTCCCTCAAACATCTCCATATCTTTTGCCTTGGTACCCCTATCATATGCCTTTTCCAGATCTATGAACACTACGTGCAAATCTTTCTGCATTTTCCTGTGCCTTTCCATCAGCTGTTTCAAAGCAAAGATAGCATCAGTCGTACCCCTTCCCAGCATAAAGCTAAACTGTTCCTCTCCAATCTCAAATTCCTATCTATTCCTTCTTTCGACAATTTTCTCCCAAATTTTCATAGTATGGGACAATAACTTTACACCTCTGTAATTTCTGCAATTCTGTACATCTCCTGTACCTTTAAAGACTGGCACCAAAATACTCTTTCTTCATTCATCTGGGATCTTTTCCTGCTGCCAGAGTTTCTTCATAAGGTCCCAGAGGATATCAATCTCCTCCTTACCCAAACCTCTCTAAGCCTCAACCAGAATCTGATCAATGCCCACTGCTTTCCCTATCTTCATTTCCCTAAGCACTCTTCCCACTTCTTCCCTGCTAATATCTTGCACCACTCCATTTGCCTCTCCATCCTCGTATAAAGTTCTGGAGTTTTCCTTATTCAATAAATTCCTAAAATATACTTTTCATCTTTCCTTGTCCCTTTTTGTAATCTTTAATCAGTTTAATAGAGGTAAAATCTTTTGATGTCTTATCTCTTGCTTTGGCAATTCTCATCAACTGCCTTTCCTCATCTTTCCTTTCAAAAATTTTATAAGCCTCTTCTAAAGCCTTTGCTTTCACAATAGCCACTGCCTTTTTAGTCATTTTATTTGCAAAATGTAAGATTTTTCTTTATCTTTTGTTTGAATTGTACCTCAGCATTCCACCACCAAAGTTCCTTTCCTTCTGGTGACCTGTTCCCTGAAGTTTTTCCCATAATCTCTTATCCAACTTTCAAAATGCAATTACTGTTCAGCAGCCACCATGTTTGCTCATCATCTGGGAACTGAATTCTTTTTAACACTTTTACCTTAAATTCTTTCCTTAATTCCTCCTCTTTCAATTTGATCATTTGTTCAGTCTGGCTAACACAATTCTTACAATGGCTCATAAGAAAGTCACAATCTACCAGAAGAACTTTGTTGTGCAGCAACACTTTCTCTATTTAACACCTTACTCTTTCTCACTTCACTCAGATGCTCAAGAAAAAATCAATCTGGCTGGATCTACCTCCATTCATGTATGTAACCAGTTCATGTAAAATATCTATCATAATATCTTTAATATTTATTGTGAAATTAATAAATATTATTGCAGATAATATTCATTAATTTCTGTCATTTAAACTATGAATTCATATAAAACAACCACTTAAAACTGGGTAAACTTGATAAAAGCAGCAACTGAAACCAAAAACCAGCATAAAAAGTAAGAGAACTAATGTTTTTACTCATGTTAAATGGGCATTGTCAGGCTAAAATTTACTTTTTATGCTGGTTTTTGGTTTCAGTTACTGCTTTTATGAATTCATATTATTAGTAAAACATTATGATTTTATTTCCAATATAAATCTTATCATTAAAGTGTGCTAATAAATACCAATTGTATGTATGTCAATTGAAGTGGCTTTCGTGTCAATTAGTTAATCATTCATTAAACATTTTAACCATCACTTCGTGCCCTAGTCTGAGGAGGCTTTTATGTAATGACAAGGATGTGGTTTCAGTCCTAGAAAAGTCGGGCATATATTTATTCTGTTTGAAAACCCAATGTCTGGGGCACATGCCCACTATATAGGGGCAACCACCAGGATGCTATCCAGCTGCATAACACACCACTAATGTTCTGTTGCAGGGGCAGCTGTGACACCAAACTATCTAAGATGGTTGTGCAGCACCACCATATACCACTTTGGAACTGTGTGGTGATGCTCAGGTGCTGTGAGGAATGAAATTTGGTATACATTTGGGAGGCCCTCTTCACCATTCTCTGTCTCCTTGCAACTTTCTCACCCTTGAGTTGCCCAGGATTTGGATCAGTCTATAAAAACAGTTAAAACACCTGCATTAGCTCCATTTTTATACCTTTGTGTGTTTTGGCCTCAAAGAAACGTCTGGGGCAAGCAACGTTGGATGGGGGATCCAAGCATCCCGAAAGGACAGCAGTTATACCCAAGAGAGTCACTATTTTCTTTGTCTTCTTTAACATGGAAGGGATTGGATCCTCCCATAAGATCACAGCATGGGATTGATTGAGGAAGTCTGGCTCTGCATAGAAAGTTTTCTTCCCTATATAGGACAAATTTCTTATCTTTGTCCTAAACTAGAAGTCTCATGTTGGATGTTGACAAGTAATGTCTTACAGAATGGTCACCAAGACGGCTTTTAGCCACAAGCAGAAGTTTGCTTCATCGAGGCAAGTGTCGAGATGACTGAAAGCTCCATTTATGGGAATCTAGTCGCTGCTTGGCAACTCTTGAGTGCTGCCAGGGCTGCCAGTTCTTTAACGCTTTTTATGTGAATTTTTCTCTTGAATCAATAAAATTGTTGGTGTGACATTCACTCTGCATATTTAAAATACAAAATGGCGCCACACTTTCTACAAACAGGCCCTAGTTCGAGATTTGCACATGTGTTGCTTGTTGGGAAGTTGGAAATGAGAACGTTGCAAAATCAAAGTTTGACAAATGAATCTTTGAGAAAACCCATTTACCTCTCCTGTGTTATTCCAGACATATCTATGGTCGCAATGTGCTGACTTTGACCGGTTGACCCAAGATATCTCGTTTCAGCATAGGAACGTTTTTGAAACTAGATGGCGCTAGTTGTTATAATTTTATATTATAAAACTAACTTCTGAAATATAATTTTTTTTTTCTTTTTACATTTATTAGTATATTTATTTTGTTTGTACAAAATAAAAAAAATAATTTCAGATGATACAATAGCTACGATTATTTTTTTCAAAAATGGGAAATTTTCGTTAGGCATCAACAAAAATTCAACCTGGGGTGACATGCAACAGAGAGAAATTTCGACATTGGATAGGTTAATTTCACCAAAAGTACATAGTGGATGATGTCGTGGCCATGGCCAAGTCCTGTGGAGTTTGAACAATTGTGCTCAAAACCAGTGATACCAAAGAAGATTAGAGAATGAGAATGAGACCTGCTATGAGTGTCAAAGTGATCCCGCTTAGTAGCAAGTCTCTGAGACATAGTCTTGTCCCATATATGGCCTTGTCGTTTTTATATAAAACTTTACTAATCTGAACAGTCCCATGTAATGTGGTAATTGTGGTAATGTGATTAGTGAGAATATACTGCATACTAGATTTTCTATGTAAAAAAATAGAATCTTTGAACAGTTTTACTAAATAGACATTTGTAGCTATTAAATTTGATCATTTGAATTATTATCATTAAGAATAACATATTTAGAACATTTTTTTTATTTGTTTCACCTAATTATTTTTTTTTGTAAATAGATACTTCCAGTTCTTAATATCAGTTGTGAACACTTTATGATGATCTATAATAATCAATGTAAAAAATTTTGATTTGACTCACAAATGACAAAAACTATTTATTGTTTCTAATTTAGATGTTGATTTAGATATTTCGAAGTGTTACATTTAAATTCTAAAGTTTATCTTAACATTTTAATTGACTGTAATGAATTTTTTTTGAGTGATGATAGTAGCAATTTCTCTTGAGTATTATCATTCTAAATAAAAAATCAATCAATCCAATACGTAACTTGCAACTGTAATGTTAGTTTAGATTTTAGCATCTTTGGTTAAAAGCAATATGTCACAAATTTGGCTCTTAATTTCTATAATTGTGCATTTTGCATTTATTAAAACTGCAAAATGAAATGGCAAAAAATTCAATTTTTGACTATAAAATTTTCTAATTTTTCTAAAGTAGGTTGTTTAAAATGTCGAGCTGTCAAGAACCGTTGTTGAAAAGTGACGAAGAAGATGAACTGGTGTTCGACCGAACCGGTTTACTGTCCAACAAAGTCACCGTCAAACCTGACATTCGGCAACGCGGCCACACCGGCGGAAGGAGACTACAGTATGCAAGAACTGTAAATTTATGCTTGGCGTTTTTTGCATTGGTAAGTATTAGTCATATATTTCTCATATATTTGTGAGTGATATAAATATAAATTTTGTGTAAGTTCAAAATTTCATTAAATTTTTTATATATTCAATACTATAAATTGAAATCATTTACTTGTTACCTGTGATTTACCATATTTACTCACATATAGGACGAAGTGTGACTAAAGATCAAAATAAAGAAAATTAGATTTATTAATACAATTCTAATTTTATTTCGTTTAATCACAACTAAACTATCAAATGAATGTAAATACATAAATACCTTGCCGGGTGTTACGTTAGCTGGCTGAGTGCCATTGGGGTCGTGGGCGATGAAGTCGTCCCCAGTCAGTGATGTATTTAACCAAGTAAGGTTATATCTAATCTAATATACTTCTGGAAGCAAAGACTCGCTCGGGGTTTGAGTGGCGTAACTGGCAAGCGCACCGAATGTAAATACATACATTGTCCTGCAAAAATTATTGGCATTTTAAACTAAGGAAAATTCTTGTAAAATCGGCAGCATAATTTGTTCATGTAAACTCAAAAACTGATTTGTATTTCAAATATACAATATCAATACCTTCGTTATTTTATCTTGTTCCAACCAGTAATGCTCATCAACGTAGCGACAACACTTCAAGTATAAAGCAAAGCAACGTCTAATCACAATTGTGATTAACGTCTAATCACAATTGTGATTAGACGTTGCTTTGCTTTATACTTGAAGTGTTGATGAGCATTACTGGTTGGAACAAGATAAAATAACGAAGGTATTGATATTGTATATTTGAAATACAAATCAGTTTTTGAGCAAACTTTTGCCTTTGTGGCTATTTCCATTTCATTTATTGGAGTATATCATGGCATCTGTTCATGTAAAGCTGGACAATCAGGAACCCTTTTTTGTCAATTCTTAACAGTCGAATCCACTATCTGTCGATTACATTTTTGAGTTTCTCCAAGTTCTGATTTCTGAATAATCATCTGATTTCGTGTGGGAATGGATTAAAACTTATATTGGGCTCCCGTGTATGATTTTGGAATTTCAATTTGGAATTCAATTCAAAAGCTTTGCTTTTCCTATAGCTATTCATCTTTATTCCTTACAGTATACAAGAACAATTCAAACAACCCAGATAAAATACTTAAGTTTTTAAATACAAGAGGGTAAGCTCCGGTAAAAAATGTGAATACATGGTTCACAAAAATTATTTGCAAAAATGCAAAGCTTCAAATTCCTAGGTCATCCTATATGCTCACACGTATAGGATGACCTAGGAATTTGAAGCTGTGATAAATGAATAAAAACCTTGTCTTATATGTGAGTAAATACAGTATATTGTAAGTAAAATTGCAGTAAATTATTTAAGCAAAAATGTTGATTATTGTTAAAATTTAATCGAAGCTATTTTTCTTCTATTTTTTTTTAAAATGAAACTGATGAGAATTTGTAATTTTTTCCAGCAGAGGGCAGCAGCTAGCAGGGTNGGAAATGTTGAGTGGAATTAGTCTAGAATCGGTTAATTTTATAGAAGAAAACCTTTCGAACAGCCTTATTCCGTAAAGTTCCCACCTATCGGGCTGCGATTGGCTCATGTATTTAATCATTCCTACACTGTAAAATTCGATTAGCGTGGAACGTATCTAAGCGTTATAGGGGGGTCTACTGTATATGGTTCTTTGATTTTGTGAATTAAATGACAATGTGTGAATAAAAAAATAATTTGAGTTTTAAGAAAAACATTAAAAAATTTATAAAATAATGAAGCTTCAAAGTATTGCATACATTGAGCAGGAGGAAGAGACTGAGATGCACACAAGCAATATTATTATTTTTAGTTTGTGTGGAAGGTGACAGAGTTTATTAATTAAAAGATACATTTTATTTAGTGCAGATTGGATTTTGTGCAAATTTGTGCCAGATTCATATCCAAATAGAAATACTGTAATAGACAAGGGACTGAAGATAACTCTGATTGATCTATTTCTTACCTAAAAGAACTTTTAGGTAAGAAACAGATTTGCACTTGCACCAAAGAATCCTCTCTTTTGATCAAAAGATTTTTAACTAGATATTGAATGTAGTTATTGAAAGGAAGTTTAGAATAAAAAATTAAAAGAATCCATATAAGAGATTTGCTGATCAAGATATGTAAAGTAGGACTATATGGAGAATAAAAGCAAAAAGCATATAACAAAGATTTAAATAAATTTATCCTTAAGTTATACTGAGAAAGATGATCAACAAGTGAGGAAACATTGTGTTTTAAAGTGATGAAGTTAGAATTTATAATTTTTATGTCATCATTATAAACCAGGGCTTCTTAAACTTTTCCATTCGTGGCCCCTTTTTGTGCAATAACATTTTATACAACTCTGGGTATATACATAAGTAATACATAAAATAAATATACAAATAAAGCGTTAATTGATAATAAATCAAAGAAATTTAATTCCAAACAATTCTTTGTTATACTTATAATTTTATCATTTATTGCCATTTATTAAGACAGCAGCAAATTTGCATACTAATGAGATGGATGTACTTGTTTTTCTTTGCATAAAGAGTTAAATCTTGGCCAAATATTTGATGACGTAGGACAAGGGACATCAACATTTTTCAGTCTGTTGATATTTTAATGTGACAATTGTCAACAAGGAACACAAAAAGGATGTAACAAATATAACAAGAAGTGTACAGGATAGGTTGTATAATAATGAGAATTTAAATAATACTGTTCTGTCTACTTTGGCACATTATGATAGGAGTAAAGATCTTTAGGATGAATTGTGTTTCAATAGTTGGAAGAATTGATTCTACAAAGCTTGTCACAGTCAAAACAAAGAGTGGTTTCGGTTCATTATCTCAAGAAATAAATATTTATGAAATCTTGAGTAAAAATATGCCAAAAGGCTCTACTTTGGGTAAAACCAACATCGACACAAATTTTGGAGCTTTCCCAAAAGGAACCTAATAAAGAGCGCCAGATCATGGTCTTTTCTGCCTTACTAAAATTTGAAGAAATTTCTCCATCTTCAGAATTTTTGTGTCAAACAAACGACCCATTTGTCAGATAAATCATTAAATCGTTTGTGTGTCTTCTAATAAAAATTTTTAGTCAGTGTAAAAACAAATAGTCTACAATTAATTTTTAATATTAGAAAATTATGTAAAGGTCCAGAAGAAATCATACAAAGTAAAAGCCTATGTCTTTTACTTTGTATGATTTCTTCTACATCATTTTCTTCTAATTAATTGAAGTCTTTTATAAATTACATTTTTTATAATTCAAGTTTTTCAAGAATGTTTTTTACTGATTTGGGAATTTCCAATTTCTTGAGAATCGAAAAAGTTCAGGAAAATACAATCACTAGTCACAATGTGCAACCCAAGGATGTACAAATTTTATACTTAGATGCTAAGGAATGGCGGCTAGAAATTTCGGTAATTGATTAAACTGTTGTTTCTGTAAGAGCATAAAAATTTAGTGGCATTACATTATACGATGGCGGCGTGTGCTATGCAAAGTTTGATACAAAGATCGGTATAAGGAAGTAGATTTAATGGAATTGAAAAGTAGTAACAGATAGCAGCGAGAAAAAAATGTACGAACACTATTTCTCTGATATGTATCCGTAATGTGATTTTTAATTTTTACTAAATATTTTAAATCGAATGGTTTAAGTAATTATTTTTACTATCTGGTATTGGAGAATCTGACAGAGAAGTATTTTGAGTCAAAGTGGCATCCCTCTCAAATGGTTGCCAAAGTTTTTGCCACCCCCAATTCTGTTAGGCGATCCCACACGGGTCACGACCAATAGTTTAAGGAGCCCTGACATAAACTATAAATTTTGAAGAACAGTGAGAAAGCTTTCATTTGCTCCGTTTTCTCCCTTAATTGGCATTTATGGGAATTCTCGTCTTAGCTTTCTTCTGTTTCGTGCCTATTTTCTCGGTAAGATAGGTACTAAACAGTAAAAAGCTAAGGCGAGAACTCCCAGAAATGCCAATTAAGGGAGAAAACAGTGCCAAAGAGAAATTTCCTAAACGGACGATATAAGTGCCGATTAAAATGTAAGCGTTTAGCTACCGTATCAAAGTGGGAGAAACGATACGTCGAACAAATTAAACGAATTATTTAGCCAGAGAACGGGAATTGCGGAATCGAAAGCATACTTAATATCGAGGTAGATGACTTAAGGTTTCTTAGATTCAAAGAAACCGAGGGTTTCACGTCGTGTTTAATAAGATCGGATATAGTGAATTTATGTTTTAATGCCGCAGTGTCAGTTATAATTCGGATCGGACCTAATACGAAAATATAATTAGTCGTAAGTGCGTAATTTAAAAAATTTTAATAAGGCAGAGGAGACAGCCTTTCTGGATTGTAAGCATTACACCGGCAAAAGTTGTCGAGCAATGCCAAGGGTGATCTGGTGCTATTTATTAGGTTTCTTTTTGGAAAGCTACTAAATGCGAATTTTGCCACGGACGGGATACCGAAAGAATTAGCATCATTTTTCAAATAAAGGGATAAATATAGATTTTTTACGGGACCGAAATCGGACGAGTTCGGTTTATTTGTGGCATTTTTAACCAGGTTAAAGGTGAGCGAGAAGCAATCTATGCGAGAGAAGTTTATCGGCTTATTTCGAGTTACACAAAGAAGCATAAAATATCTGTTTTTTTGTTTTTTTAAAAGTCGTTTGGGTGGAAACGAGTTTAGAAAAATTAGGTAAATATTTCAATGTTTTGGGATCCGTTGCAAACTTATTGACTATCGAATGTAAACGCTGGGTATAGTATTTTCTAGCAAGAATCGAGCAAGTGTTTTCGATGCATCCGTAAACATATAGGTCACAAGGTGTATCTGTAAACATGTAGGTCACACACGCTTTTTCCACCCGTTGCACTAACGATTCCAGTTTATTAATTATAATTGAAAAATTAGAAATTTACAGTTCTTACAATAATTTTGTGCTTTTTAAACTACAATTGTAATTAAAATTAAATAATAATAATCGTCGTCTTATTCAATATTAATATTATTTTACACGCGATATAATTTTATAGCATTAAAAAATAAATTAGGTCAAAATACTCGGCGCGTCTTAAAAAGTAGTCTAATGCAAAACTACAAGTTGGTTCCTGGAGTTTCGTAGCGCACGACGTTAGGTACTGTACAGTACCATACGTACGCTATACTCGTATATATTCACCACGCGCACGGAGGCATTTATTCTAAAATACCTCAGCGGATTCTTTCGGCGGTAAAACCGAAAGGGAAGGAGATCGCGACCGGTAAAGAGCAAAGTTAAGGTCATAGGACTCATTTTAATTACGGATTTATCTTACAGGTGGCAACGTTTGGTGCTTGGACCTGTGGGGGAAAAAGAGCGCTCCCTTCATGCAAACCATGCATTTTTGTTTCGGCCTGGGAGCATTCATCGCTCCTCTGGTGGCGGAGCCGTTTCTCTCCCCGCAAGTGGAGAACTACGGCAATTGGATAAACCGCACCGACGGAAATAAAACCGCGTTAAACTTTCCGCAGGTTCGTTTTCCTCACCAGCGGTACGGCTCCCGAGACGAAATTTCCAACATCCTGTCCAAGTACGCCAACGATTCGGAGACGGAGGGGACTGCATCCGTCCACCGTCTTCGTTCGGTGGGGACCGACCGGTACCCGGCGGCGTGGAAGATCGGCCGGGCCGTAGGAGCGTTAGACAAGAGGGAAGTGGACGGACCCTGGGAAAGCGAAAACGCCACGGAATTTTTGGCCGAAGACAAAAACTCTTCTAGTCCGGAAGGGCGGCCCGAAACCACCGAGACGGCCATTTCCTCCACCGCCGACGTCAAACGCAAACCCAAGAAACCGTTTTACGCCGACGGCAACCAGCTGAGCCAAGACAAGCGCTGGTTCCGCTCTTCTCTAAAGTCCAAAACCCGCACCGCTTCCGCCCCCCGCTCGCCCCCGGGCGAGGCCGACCGGACTCCGCCCACCCCGGCCGCCCCGCACAACGGCACGGGCGTGTCCGACGACTGGCCGGCCGCTTCGGCCAACGAGTCTCGAGAGGAAGAGTACGACGACCGTCCGGAAGAAGCCGGCAATTCTTCCCATCTCGCCGCCGACAACGGAACGGATGCGGTGCTCGCCTCCGGGGAAAATTCCTCGGTGGAAACCCACGGCCGAAGTAACTCTTCCGTGGCCGAAGGAAATTTAACGCTAGAGCATTGTGACGCGTGTAACGCCACGGAAAACTCCACACCGGAGCCTCCGACCACCCAACCCACCTTCACTTTGGCAGGGAACGGTTCCTTCGTTTCCCACGGTTCCCGGTACTTGGCCAGTGGCCGGGTTACGTCCACCCTGGCCTCTACCGCCTTTTCCACGGAATCTGCGGAAACCTTGGGCCGTGCGCGTAACTCTGTGCGGGAAGAAAACGGGTTAAGGGGAATGTGGGAATCCCGGCAGAAGGACGGGGACGGGGACCGGCTCCTTTCCGACCAGAGTGCCACCGCCCCTTCCCGCTCGGAGACGGGGGAGATGTACGTGCGGAACGACGGAGAGGACCCCGGCGTCGACTTGGAGCGACTGTCGGAGGAGCCGAAAGTCGACGATCGCAAGGCGAAGGAAACAGCCGTCGAGGCCGACCCACCCTCCGGTAACTCCACCGCGCCCACGGACGAGAAGAAGCGCGGCCGTTTGGGATTTCTGTCCGGTCTCTTCCGGACCATGCTTCGTCATCGGTTGGGCAAGTTCGAAATAGCCTACGTCATCCTGGGCACGTACATATTCGTCGTAGCCTTCGTCTTCTTGGTCTTTCTCTGCGTCAATCCTCGCGAGCCCAGATCCAGACAGGAGGAAGACCTGGACAAATCCAGAAATCTCACCGCCACTTTCAAGTTCTCAGCCGTGCTGCTGGTCTCCCTCTTTCTGTGTCTGTACGTGGGGATAGAAGTGGCCGTGGGACAGCTGTTGCAGACCTTCGCCGTCAAACAGTACCTCCGATTGCCCGAATCCACCGGTTACTTCATGACCTACATGTTCTGGGGCAGCTTCGCCCTCTCCCGCGCCCTGTCCGTGGGACTGGCCGCCAGATTCAGCGGCCTGCGTCTGATCTTCGCCGATCTGATTATTTGTCTGGTCACCTCCGTTCTGCTGGTGGCCGGCGCCAACAAAATGGAGACTCTGTTGTGGGTGGGGGTGGTGATTTTGGGATTCGGCATGGCTCCCGTCTTTCCGGCCTCCATCTCCTGGATCGAACGTTACCTGCCCATCGACAACAAGACGGCTTCGGTCTTCATTCTGGGCGCGGCCCTGGGTCAGTTGACCATTCCTCCGGTGATCAATCGGTTCATCGACAGGGAGCCCATGGTGCTGATGTACGTCAACATGGTGGTCAACGTCTTGTGTTTCGTCACCTTCGTCGGACTCTGGCTGCTGTCCTCTCGGCAGGGCGAAAAGTACAAATCCACGGTGGATCGGAACACTTACCGGTTGGCCAATTTCGACGAAGTGGAAGACGGCCTGGAGATGTCCTACGGCAATTCTCACTGGCAGAATAATTATAATTCTCGCATTCTGATGAAAAAGTCGGCGGGAAAGGTGACATAGACTGCCCGGTGCCAACGTAGCGTTTTTAATCTCGTACCAAGGTCCGATTTTATCCGTTGCCGTCGTTTTAAAAACAATTCGGAGAGGAAGATAATTCGGAAGACCGTCCGTCTTGGACGGTACGCCACCGGGTGGAAATAAAGATGGAGTTTCCTTCCGGATAATGTACGGGTTCGATGCCGGCGCGTAAGAAACTAGAAAAGAACCGGAGATAGTCGACGATTCGCGTTTAGAGAAAAAATCGTTGCCTACGAATTTTCTAACGTCCTAGTTCTACCACGGAGGAACCGATCTACGGACGTTCCAGCCGGTATTTTTGTCACTTCCGGCGACGGCAGACTTTTATTGTTAAAAAAAACTTACCGTATTAGAAAATACTCGTTTAATTTATTACCGTGTAAATAGATTTTTAATTTGGCCCAGAATGTACAGAATAACTTAACTAATTTATTGCGGGAGGTCCAGTTATCCCCTTTACGTGTACACTTGTAAAAAATTTTGTAATAATCGACCGACGGTCGAATCGGGGTTCGCTCCCGTCCGTCACCCGAAAGAAGACAGTGTCGTTCGTGTATTCCAATGCAGTTTAATAAAATATGTCGGAATGCCACGAAATTTGTTCGAAGGAAAGTTTCTTTACGGAATTTCACAACGTCTCTGTGGTCGGCGTTTTAAATAAATTTTACCAATACGGATGCTTTAAAGCGTTAATAAGAGTCGCGAGTCGAAACATACTACCTAACCGGTATATAAACACTGGAGCAGCATTGTCCGGGTATAAAACTATCGGTTTTTAAACACAATCGCGTATTACTAAAAATCCAACACCGGATATTTGATTTATCTCGCGTTACGTCTGTACGAGTAGTACTATAATATTTACGTAATTCGATCGTAATATAAGTAATATCTAAAATATGAAAACTCGATCGTATTTACGCGCAGTGCTTCGTTAACGGAGGCACGTATCGTCGTAACCGAAGATTGAATTTCGACGCTCGTTACGGAAATTTTACGTACGGCCAGTTTACGTTACGTCAAAACCGCTACCATCGGGGAACCGACTATAAACAAGATGCCCGAAGGAAAAACGAATAAGAAAAAGCCGAAATGGATCGGAGCGTAAACGAAAGTATACTGTACTAGGAAAATCGATAGATACTACACAATATTCTAATATACGTAGTTTATAATGAGAGACGATTAATAATCTATACTAATATAATAAAGAGGTAATGTTTGTATGTATGTAAGTTTGGATGCAGCGGGTAATCTCCAAAACTACTCATCCGATTTCAAAAATTTTTTCACCAATATTTAGAATGGAACTTCAGGATGGACATAGGCTGTATATTATTCCGTTAAACATGGGGGATGGACAGTTCTTTACGGTAAGCCTTACGGAGAAGGTTACCGTAAAGAACTCTGCTTCTATTTATACTATTTTAGATGCGGTTTTTTTGCATTTTTGATTGTATTTTAATAGGGTACGTCAACAGAATGTACACTAAGAAGGGATTTTTCGATATTCCCCCCGGGGGGGAGAGGGACAGGATTAAGACTTACTGTGAAGAACTTCTCTTCTACAGTATTATACTATTTTAGATGCGATTTTTTGCGTTTTTGATTGCGTTTTAATAGAGTACGTCAACAGAATGTATACTAAGAAGGGATTTTTGGGAAGTGTTATACATTTATAATAGATACATTTTGAGCCACAACAAGGCGTGGCGGGGTCTGCTAGTGTTATATAAAGTAAGACTCGCTCGACTCCGACAGCTTTTAAATCGAAATTTAAAATCGCTTGGCGACGATACAAAATCTGATCCTTTTAAAAATATTCCACTAGCATTAGAATAAATTATTTAAATAATGTAAAGAAAGATCGTCCGTATTGGAACGGGAGACGATCGGCCATCTCGTTTTTTCGTCAATCTACAATATAAATTTCAACGGTTAACTTATTGCAAATGTACAGTACAGTACGCCCTCGAGGATTTTCGGAGACGGCGTCTAGCGACTACCAGTTCTGCCCTTTGAATCCAGTGTTCGAAAGGCATTTGCGCTTTGCGGACAATCTATAATGGTAAATTTTAAGAAGAAAAAGTAATTAAAGGAAACGAAATAAGCGTAGCGAACCTTACACGAAAATGTCCGGTAGAGTTTTAAAATACGTAATATCCGAAGTAGAACGCCAAGATATATCGATAACTTACAATACTGACTAAAGAAGTTAATATATAGAGAGTTATCGTATCCCGAAAGGTTTGCGCGATACTTTACCACGACCAAACGATCGTTCGATGCGTAATTACGTATACCGCGAGCGGGACCGGGGTGTCCGCGACACCGGAAGACGAGCGGAAACATCCTTTTCAATTTTTACGCTAGGTCTGTAGACTCGGAGAATTCATTTTTCGCCGTCGAAATAATTTAAATCCAGACCCGTCGCATTTGTCACGCGGTTATTTTAATTTAACCTTACTAGTATAGATATTTACGACGATTTCTATGGTAATAAATAAATAATAGAAATCGGCGTACCGTCTTGCCGACGCACGTTTTTTCTTCTCCCATTCGGGAAATATTTTTAATCTTTCGCGTATTTCGGCATTACGAGAAAATTCGCGAAAGAAAATTTCGATATTTTTCCTATTTCGGATTTGCCGAAAAGAACAAAACAATATGGCGATTCGAAACCGTATTTTTTACGTTAGTCGACGCTACCTCGACCGTCGGACGAGGCGCCTCTAGTGGCGAGTTAATGAGTGCGAATCGTCGCCTCCGTATAATATATAAGAGCGGACTTTTGGTATAATATATGGTTGCGACGCAGCAGACTCATTCGGATACAATTTTTTTGTGTCTGTTGTAGAAATCGGGTATAAACAGAAAATCCAACTTACTCGGTTAAGGCACGGGACTAACCTAGATCCTACTATGGCGGGAATAAGATCCCGCCGTCCTATTCGGCCGATTTTCGAAAGCGTAATAACTTACCCGGGTAAAAGCCAGTCCCGTTCTCCCCTAACAAAGCGACCGCGTCTAACTAAATTCGTATCAAAGTTCTGTTCTATATTATATAAAGTCAAAAACGCCGAATAGGACCCGCGAGCGTTTTTCTTTGTTGTTATATACCTATTTTCTTATTGTTATATACCCGCGAGCGTTTTTCTTTAATTATTATTATTCGTTTAAGGAAAAGATGTAACGAACAACGGATGCCATCTCGTCTTAAGAATTCGGGAAATTGGCCTACTCGTAACCCGAGACGTTCTTGTCCTCGAGGTAGTAGAAAATGTCGGGGACGGTTCCCCCTAGCGAAGGTGCGCGTCCACGTAATTTAATCTTTTCTTTGTTCGGGTCGCCGGTTTTGCGGTCGAGGAACGAAAACCGATAGGGGTGACGGATGCGAATAGATACGGGCTAAACCGCGTCCGTCCTCGATTTAAAATGTCCCGCCAGACCGGGCGGAAAAGCTCTACCTATAGCGACCCGCCCGGGGGCTTAACTACGGAGAATTTAAATTATCCAGCAAATAAACGGAAGAGCCGATACTTTTTACATTTATTGTGTTCGAACGTTTTAATCGTCAAATATTTTATTTACTTAAACTGGCGTAATGTAAAAAAGCCGGAGGCTAGGAATTTCCCCCCAGCGTTACTTTTATTCCCGTAAAAAACCGGATTTACGTCTCGTCGAGGCGATACCTAGTAACTAACTTATGTAAATGCTCCAGATGGCTCTTATCGGCAATCGTCTTAAATAAAAGATAAAAGTCATTAAAGTAGATAACGCGATTTCTTCGGCCGTTGCCGACCGCCGTATCGACTTTTAACCAATTTAGGGATAAAAATTGAATTATATTTTGAGAAATATTTGTTTTTAACGCTATTGAGTTATATTTAATCTATCGAGTCCGTTTAAAAATAACGTATTATAAAAGTTTTTAATTCGCCTCGTAAAGTTTGACATTATTAAAATACTGGGAAAATCTACGAATTTCCCTATATTTGAAGGGAATAAATATCGGGAAGTTTCCCGATTTCCCTAAACGATTTAAATAATTATTTATCGGATTTTTTCCATCTCCGCGACTTTTTGTTTAGCCGGGGAAATCCTATTCACGGATCCATCATTAAAATGTAATTGATAAATATGCTAAATAATTGTTGTTGTGGAAAAATTCCATCATTTTCTGCGAAAGAATGGACGATTGTCGAAGAATGAATTTGCGCGTTTTAATCTACTAGCGGACGACTCCTCCATTGTTTCTCAACCGCTATCGCCACATTTTCGCAATTCTATAAAGGAAGGAACTGCGAAACGTTTGAAAATTTATCATAAATTGCTTTTTCCATTATAACTTTTTTACCCGTATATTTATTTTATTATACGACGAACCAGTCGACGGGAAACGTAATACTATACTTAAAATAGCCAAGGCAGGCGACCGTTAAACCCGGTCGAACGAAATTCTTTAATAAAACTATTAAGTGTTTGGTCGGGGGAAATAATTTAATGAGATTCGCGAAGAAAAAGTCTGTAAAATACGTCGCTGCCGTTGCCAAGGCGACGGTTTGTTTTTGGAAAGATGGCGGCCGTCCGCTCGATTGCTGGCGTGGGAAAAATTCTAAGTCGATTTAGGTCAGCCGGCGACGGGAAAAACATTGGTGGCGTAGCTAACGCGTTTACTCGGGCGCCGTTGTTATTAATTCGCTAACATTAATGCTTTTAATTATAAGACCGATACACGATTTGTTTCCAGTGCTATCGTCTTCGTTTTCCAGACGATAACGCGACTTACTTATCGACGTTTTCGAGGAGAAAACGCGATAATTCTAATGATTTTTTTTCGAAAAGTTCGATAAAACCCTTTGACGAAATGCCGACTCGTTCTACGGACTTTATCCCGTTTTGTCGCGATAATTTGACAATTTGCTACAATAATTACTTCCAGATACCTAACGTTAGCTCCGATTGGTTAACTAATCTGCCGCGATGTTTTCTCTTCCAATCCACGTCCAACTCGTTGTCCTGACGCAATCGGCTTTCCCGACGATCGATAATTGCCGGCAGATCGGTCACTCGGCATCCGACCAGGAATCTACACGTGTCGAAGATGAACAACGGGCACGCTTCCGAAGACGGTCGAGGGGGAGAATTGCATTTTGCCACCAAGGCCCTGCACGTCGGCCAAGAACCCGAGCAGTGGACTCACAGGGCGGTGATTCCCCCCATCTCTATGTCCACCACCTTCAAGCAGACGGCCCCTGCCCAACATGCGGTAAACAACCTTCTGTTATTCTTACCTTGTTCAATATGGTGGATAGTTTTTAGGTCTTTTAATAAACAGATAAAAGGGGATAACCTAAAAGGTTATCCCCTTTTATCTGTTTATTAAAAATAAATTAATATAAATTTAACTTTTTAAAATATATTAATATATTTCAAAATTGCATTATAGTCTGTTGTTTCCCGTTTGCGTGAGTGCGGCTACAATATTCTTCAAATTTTTCTTTTTGGTCTTTAAAGGTTAATTGTACCCGAAATATTTAATATGTTTTAAAAGAACGGGCGCCCGTGGAAACGAAAAAATTACCGCCCGCCGGTCGGTCCCGGGTTTTAATTCGGTCGGTTCCGTCCGCGGGAAAAATTTAGCCCGGCTCCGTCGGAGAAGAAAAAATTACGCGACGGAGAACGGCCGACCGGTCGGCGCTCGGAGTGCCGGGGGATCTCTCCCAGACGCCGGTTCTCGCCCTTTGACTCCTCGGGTCGGACGAAAAAGAAAGAGTCGCGGGGACCGAGATTTTCGAGTTTTCGCGTGAACGTGTACTTTTCCAAAATTGTATTGCGTATCTTTGGGTGTCGTGCTTATACTAAATGATAATGCTACAAAAATCTTAAAATTATTAACGCAATTTTAAGGTTTTTATAGTGTTGTTGTTTAAACGTATTGCTTGTTGTGCTTTATATTATACGACAATATATTTGTCTATAATTTTAGTTGTTACTTTTTAATTTAAACACAATAACAAAAATAAATAATGATTACTTTTTATGTGACTTTGCACAAAGTTTTTATATCTTTTATGTAGAAAAATGGACCCGGTACTACCTTCTCGCGAATGCCACCGTTAAAGGATGGCCAAAATACCAGAGAACTACATTTTACAAAAGCTTTTGTTGCAAGGTAATGAATGGTGGAGAAAACGTGCTTTGTGAGGAAGGATACGTCGAACGATGGCTATTTATTGACTTACGTTTGAATATTGGACCCGCGACGTTCGATAGACGATAAATACGTCTCTCTTAAGTCGAGGCCCGAACTTTTTGACCGTCGACCTATATGAGGATTCCTCCGCCTTTGTCGACTGCCTCTTTTGTTTTCTAGTACGGTCCAAATAAATAAATCCGATAAGCGCATATTAATCCGCAACCATTTTCATAGAAAAGATCTACTTATGTCGTGCAAATTTACAATATCCCAAACTGTCGTAGACCTGCTCTATCGGAATAATAATTTTTAACGGATCATTTCCGTTAATCCCAGAAAATGCCTAGCTGACCACTTTGAAGGCTCCTGTCTTAAACAAACAATTTTATGACAATTGTGCAATATTTATTGATCCAATCTTTTTGTGATTAAAATGTTGTGTACTGCAAACAATGAAATAATACTGTTTAAATAAATTTAATTCTACACATTTTTAATTTATTTGAATTTACTTTATGAAATTCAGAGATTTTAATTCTATTATGCAAATATATAACTTTCATTTAAAAGAAAGGAACAATGATTTGTTGATATAGTCAATACTTTTATTAAGATGTTAAGTAGATAACAGAATCATTTCAACTATCACAAACAAGAAGGATGCGATTTTAAATAAATAAAAGATCCTTCACTGTAATGAAATTATTGCAAGATATTTGAAGATTCGTATAAAATGGTACATTTCTAATATTGAAACCTTATCCAATTGAATATTTTTAGGTTTGTTTCTTTTATCAAGATTGCATTTCATTAAATAGGCAATGTGTAGATTTATTGGCATTGTTAGACACTTAGGAGGTTAGTATATCTTTTGGAATGAGTTAACAATATAATTCAATAGTCGATATTAAAAATGTAAAATTCAAACACTAAAATATTAAATTAGAGTAACATCTTGATACAAAATTAACAGTAAATTGTGATATAAAAGTCTTATTAGATTGATGGTAATGTAATTTCATTTTTTTCATCTCCAATAATTCCAAATAGTCGAATGATCGACATTCATTCATTCTGCTCTTTCTGAGGATGGTAGCCCATCTGTTTTCTGCTACCGTTTGCTTTTAAACAGTCTTCCAGGAAAATATGTAAAAATAAATAATGCTTTAGAGAAATTTTTTTAATATAAATTTATATGCTGAAACTTTCAACCACTGTCCCTATCCCTATGTATCCCAACATGGAAGTAGTAGTATGGGTTATGCTTATGGAGCCATGCAATGACAGCCTGTTTTATTTCATATTTATAAATGTGAACTGGTGAAATATTGCTTCAAAGGATCACATAGATGATAGTAATCACTGAGCAGAAAATGCTGGATCACACTGCATAAAGAGGATGCTCCAGCACATNGTAGCCCATCTGTTTTCTGCTACCGTTTGCTTTTAAACAGTCTTCCAGGAAAATATGTAAAAATAAATAATGCTTTAGAGAAATTTTTTTAATATTAAAATTTATAAATTAACAAGAAATAAGTTTATGATAGAATAAATAAATTAATTATTAAATATTTTTAATAACAAAATGGGTAATTTTGTAATGTTTTAGGGATATGAATATTCTAGAAGTGGTAATCCTACCAGAAATTGTTTAGAAAAATGCATTGCAGCTTTAGAAGATGCAAAATATGGTGAGTAGCACATTTATTCTTATCTAAAATATATATTTTATTATTAAATACATAAGCAGAATTAATATCATAAAGTACTCAGCAAATCACTATAAATATATCTAACACCTTATCCTTGCCATGAAATATACAGGTAACCCCTGTATAACACGGTAGTTACGTTCCAAAAAATTGTCGTGTTATGCGAATCCGTGTTATACGAAACAAAGAACTAATACGAAAAGGAGAGTTAGGTTCCAAAAATTAAAAAACATGCTAGTATATTTTCATAATTAAGATAAATATCTTCATTAAAATTTTTTTAAGTGATACATATTAATATAAATTAAACAATATTTTCTTCGTCATCACTAAAAACACTATTAATTAACCGAGAGCGTTTTCTTTTTGGCAAGTTATCC